ATCTATTTTGATCAAACATTTATATAACAAATAAAAACTACAGCTACCCACTACTAGTTACTAGCTTCCATCTTCCAACTTCCAGCTATCAGCTTGTTTTACCAAACACATCCAAAATCCAGTGTTTCAAAAACCATAAACCACACTAATTGTTTTCAGAATGGTTTGATTTATTCAAGTTTTATTTTTGATTTATATATCTTTTTTAAACAATTGTCCTTTTATGGTAAGGACATGCTAGATTTGATTGTAGACAAAATTATTCATCTTAATGGGACAGATTTCATAAATGAACAAGACGATGAAGACGATAACATTGACTATGAAGAGTATGAAGATAATGGTTTGTTTGATGATTGCCTAATAGAAAAAGAAATTTAAAAAGGAGAAAATAACAACCGACACTAGTCATGAGGTTCCATTTTCTAATGTGTTGTATTAATAGCAGTTTTGGAGATGCAAAAAAAATAATAATAAACAAATCCGACAATGTCCCGATCTTAGATTGAAAGACAATGATACCAATTTGGGGCATGCTCTTTGAATAAAAAGATCAACTAAGAAACTTACTTACAAGTTAATCAATAACAAACATATATGATTTGCATTATGAGACCAATGACAAACTTTGAGTAGTTGTGCATTATGGGAGACCAAAAAAGATTAAAAAAATGTTTTTTGCTTTGCCTTTGGACATCTTTAATGACCAACAAAAGGAAGTTTTCAAATTAAGTCCTTGGAAGCAAGCCATAATTGTACATAGTTAACATTTAGTAAATGTTTATTTTAAGTCTAGTGTGGAAGTAATGCATAAGAGCCATGAAAGCTACTTTAGTAGAGCTTGAAGGTTGTTTGGAAGCCCATTATGCAAAATTGTGGAGCTATATAGAGGAATTAGGGACATCTAACATTGGTTCAAGTATTAAATTAGATTTTAAATTTTTAATGCCATGCAAGTTGGAAAATAACTACTTTACGCATTTCTATGCTTGTTTCAAGAGTGTAAATAATGAATGGATAGAGGGTTTCATGAAAGTAATTAACTTAGATGAGTGCTTTTTAAAGGGTGTTTGTCAAATGGGGTTGCTTTTAGCATTAAACATGATGCAAACAATCATGTGTACATATCTGTATGCACTGTTTTTTTCGTTGAAAACAAGGAGACATAAAAGCCCTTAAGTCTTCACAAAAGTATCGGTTTTACCCTTGAACGTGTTTTAGGTCCAGTAAAGCCCGAAGTTTTGTTTAATTTGTTTATTTATACCCTTGTAGTCGGCTTTCAGGTAACCTACTGGTTACCTAATGCCAGTAAAGTCCCTAAATTTTCAAAAATGTTCGGATTTACCCTTAAGTTTTTCAAAAAATATTCGGATTTACCCTTAACTTGATTGTTATTTTGATTATTATTATTATTATTATTATTATTATTATTATTACATTTTTTAATGTATAAAAATATTTTATACATAATAATAATAATAATAATAATAATAATAATAATCAAAATAACAATCAATGTAAGGCTAAATCCGAACATTTTTGAAAAACTTAAGGATAAATCCAAACATTTTTGAACATTCAAAGACTTTACTGACATTAGGTAACCGGTATGTCACCTGGAAACCGGCTTCAAATGTATAAATGAACAAATTAAACAAAACATATGGCTTTACTAGACTTAAAACACATCCAAAGGTAAAACCGACATTTTTTTGAAAACTTAAGGCTTTTTATATCATTTTCTTTTTATAGAATTTGTGGTGGAAGACATAGGAACAGATATTAGCATGGTGATGGAATAATAATCATCTTTAACGAACATAAGCTATATGTTTGTTCCTAAGATTCTTGGGTTTCATGTTATACTTTTCAATCTAAATTTTGTTATTGGTTATAATGGATTAATAGAAATTATGAAAGAAATGGTACCATATGCAGATTATCACAAATGTGCAAGAAATATTTACACGAACTTCAACCATAGATTTTAAAGGTGCCTTATACCAAAAAAAAAAAAAAAAAAAAAAAAAAAAAGGTCTAAGTCCACATGTGAACAATCTTTCATTATTTCCATGAACCAAATCAAGTAAATTAGTGTTGATACATACAAGTAATTAATGGAAAAGATATTCAAAACTTGGCACAAGGCCTTCATTCAAGTGGACATCGTATGTGATGCAACTGAGAATGGAGTGCCTGAGAGTTTTTAATAGTACAATCATACATAGTCGTCCGAAGTCAATAATTACAATGTTAGAAGATAAAGTGTTTCTTGATTTAAGGTTGGTATGCGTAGATTATCGCGAATATGCCAAAATATATACACGAACTTCAAAATTATAGATTCAAATGTGTCTTCTAAAAAATAATAATCAGAATGAAGTCAAATCCACAACTAAACGATCTTTTTTCCATAAACCAAAACAAAGAAATTAGTGTTGATACACACAGGTACTTAATGGAAAAGAAACCCAAAACTTCGTATAAGGACTTTGTTGAAGTGGATATGGTATGTAATGTAACTGAGAATGGATTGTCCGATAGTTTTGGTAGTGCAATCATACATAATCGTATGAGGCCAATAATTACAATGTTAGAAGAGAAATTATTGCTTGATTCAAGTTTGGTGTGTGTGTGTGTGTGTGTGTGTGTGTGTGTGTGTGTGTGTATATATATATATATATATAGAGAGAGAGAGAGAGAGAGAGATCTTTAGTGTAATAGTGAATAGTGTACTTAGGTATTTAACAACAATAAAATACTAAAATACAGATGGCACATGATTTTGGTTAATCATTAAAATAAGACAATGTGAAAGGCATAAGTACCATTGGCATGACCCATGATTTTGGTTAATGATTAGAATAAGACAATGTGAAAGGCATAAGTATCATCCGCGCAAGTTTTAGAAAACATAGAGATCATTCATTTAAACAAAAAAAGGTTAGAGACTTTGGTGATGTTTGTTCTTTTGAAGTCAAAATGTCTACAGTCTGCGGACCACATCTGCAAACCTCTGCGGCAGAAGAGATGGACCAAATGTCTGCAGTCTGCAATAAGAAGATTGTTTGTTTTTAACATCTGTGGGCTGTTAAAATAAATTGAACTTTTAAACTTAATTTCATATCATAAACATTAAAAATGTATTTTTAACAAAAAAAAAAAAAAAAAAAAAAAAAAAAAGAAAAGAAACTGCACAGTGGCCCATGTTTTTTTTGTTTGTTTAGATTAAAATGAGATCTGAAGACCTTTGAAGACAATGGCTCATGTCTGCGCCAGGAAGACCTCGCGCAGACGTTTTCTGATCTGCACACTTCCAAAAAACAAACAATCTGCGAGGTCATATGTCTGCGCGTTGTCTGCGCGGCGCAGACAAAAGTGGTTGCGCAGATCTTCACACAAAAAACAACCAGCCTCTTAGTTAGTGGCTATTTGTAAAGCATGGACTATCTATGTAATTTTGTCTAAAATTAATGGTTATTAAAAAAAAAGGATATCTATCTATTATATAGAAACTTTTATTAAAAAATAGCTATTTTTCTCTTATCTAATATTAAATATGAAATTTGTAACTGTAATATAATACTTTTTATCATTTTTTTTCACAATTTTCTAACTATCTATATAATAATTTTATCTTTTATATTGTTAGCATTATTAAATATATACTATATCTAGATTTTTTTAAATGATAAGTTAGCGTGGCATACAAATTAATGAGATTCACTTTTGGCTGGTAATTTAAATAGCTTCATACGAAAACATTTTTCTATTATTTTATTAGTTATAAAAATATCTATATTATATATAGTTATAGTTATATTAGTCAGATTTGTTATTATTATTTACTTTACAATAAATAAATAAAAAAAAACATACGCACGTTTACTTATCCCATTTATAAAGTATACTTGAAAATATTTTATTTAATTCACGTTCAGATAGTTAACAAAATGCATTTAGTTTTCAACAATACTTCAACTAAAATTTATTTAAAATGAAAACTATTAAACTTACATATCATAAAAAGATAAACCAATCACAACATGGTTTTTAAATCACACAAACACATTACCAAAAAGAATACCAAATACAATGAAGAAAGATCTCATCTATAAATAAAACATGATATTAAATGCACCATGAATCTTAACTCAACAACTTGGAATGATGATGATGACGATTTGTGACAATTGGAAGACATGAAGGTGGTGGAGTTTCAGTTTCAACTTTCTTCTCTTTCTTCTTTCTCCTTAACTGAAAAAACTTTTGCATCACATCTGCACATTCTGACGATAATACCCCTCTTCTTACACTCATGTTGGGGTGGAATGGGTGGACAGGGGCATCTGGTTTATCAGACCCATTTCCTCCATCCACATCAAGAAACAATCTTAACAAAAATAAATAAATAAATAAATTACTGAAATGGTCCCTATGATTTGGTCAAAATTACACGTTTGGTCCCTAACTTTTTTTTTTTGCACCCGGATCGTCTCTATGGTTTGATTTTGTTACATTTTTCGTCCCTTACATACATAAAGTTAGGGACCAAACGTGCAATTTTGACCAAACCATAGGGACGAAAAACACAACAAAATCAAATCACAGTTACGATGCAAGTGTAAAAAAAAGTTAGGGACCAAACGTTCAATTTTGACCAAACCATAAGGACGATTTCAGTAATTTACTCAAAAAAAAATCAAAATTAAACTTTTTAAATCTTGAAAACCATAAAACCCTAAACCCTAAAAAGTACTGATCCAGCTCCCATCGGCTCCAAGGAGCTCATTTGGAGCTCCCAATACAACGGTGTCAATATGTATATAACACTAAAAATATTATATAGATATTACGGATTTGACTATTTAATATCATAGATAAAAATTAAACAAATTAATTTGTCAAAAAAAAATAATAAAGATTTGAGGTGTTATATATAACAAGGAATTAAAATGAATTATTATTGAACTGAGGTTAATTGCATTATACCAAAAACTCAAAACATTTGCTAGAATCTAAGTGGTTGATTATATTGACAAAAAAAAAAAAAAAAATAGATACATTTTCCAATGGTCAAAGTGTGATTTCCACACATTGAAAAGAGGTACACTCTCCAGTGAAGATGTAATTAAAAGTTAGCATTTTTGTTCATTGGATTCTCCTTTTATCAAGTTGTATGTTTTCCAAACATTATATGATTCAAAACTCCTTGCAAATAAATATATATCTATGCAAAAGCAAAATCCAGATCAAAATTTACAACATAAATATAAATTCATGTTGATTTCCTAAACTTGATCTGTTGTATCAGAACTCATATCTGTTTCCTCCCTTAAATCATATTCAACCACAAGATTCAGATTGTCAACAAGTTTGTGATACTGCAAACACCCTGTGCACTGAAAACAAATAATCCATACATGAGAATAATAATAAAAAAAAAACATTTTTCACTGAATTTGTGATATTGAGAAAATGAAATAGAAGAAATACCTGTACAAAAACTGTCCCTTTTTCATAAGCTAATCTGTTTATGAGCTTTTTTGATCTTTCACCACAAGAATTGCATGTAAAATGTAATAACAAGCTTCTTCTTGGGAGTTTGAGGTCTATTGTTGCTCCCTGCAAGTTTCCATGTTCAAACAAACAATCATGAATTAAGAAATATATTTGTGAAATGTTTTATCGTTTTTAACTGTAGGCTTAAACAAAAGTAGTAAAGTAACAAATTATATTTCGATTTTAAACACAAACCCCTATTATCAATCATACAAAACCAAATCTAACTCTCAATTCTAATTATTTGCAGTCAATTCCAGGGTTACTTACTTTAATGCCAAATTCATCAATAATTTTCAACAAGTTGGAAATGTCTTTGTGAATGAATGATTATAACAAGACAAAGAATTAAAAAGAGATGTACATACGGGATTTGATTCTTGACACGCTTCAGGATTATCTTCAACCAAACAAGAAATCACAAGTCTTGATTCCTTTCTTTTTGAATAAGAAATCCCTAATCTGTTAACCGAAATGAATTTTGAGTAATCAAAGGTAGAAACATTTACTTATTAATTAATTAGAAACCGAAGACGTTCATACCTGGGAAATTTGAAGGTTAAGTGAGGTTGAATGAAATTAGGGCATGGAAGAAGAGCGGGTCTTTGTCTTTGAGCTTTGGGCGTTGTAAGTAACCAAGGCAGAGAAAAGACGGAAGAAGCCATGGAGCCCTGCATCTGCGTTTTTTAGGAGCACAAAATCTCTCCTTGTTGCCCTGCATTCAAAGTTTTAAAACCGGGTCAACCCGGTTTATGTTTTTTTTTTTTTTTTTATACTTTCATATATTTTTACTTTCCTGCTTGGATATGTACAAAGTTTAATCCAAACACATCAAACAACCACATAGAGTGAGTATAAATAACAATAAAATATATGTCAATTGGATCCTCATTACATAATCTACACAATCAAAACCTTAAAACAGTGATCAATTAACAATAAATAAACTGTAATACCCATTTGGATGTAATGTTCCCGACAATTAATTGATACAAGTATCTTCCAGAATGCTTTAAGCCTTTCATCATGTTCTTAGTTTATCTGATTAGTGTATTGTATGCCTTATTTTATTTGAACTTCATAATTATATCAATTAGGCTATAAATGCAAACAACAATGGCTATATGCATTTAAGTTGGTGTTCTTCAACCATCATTCTTTTACTTCTATTGTGCATCATACGAGGTTTAAAAGATGTAATTGATGGTTTTGGGTGCCTAATTCAGTTATCTGCATCAGGAACTAGATCCATGTATAGGATAACATTTTTTTTTTATTATTTCCTGTTTCAAGAATTAATGTAGCTACTTTATCACCATATACAAATAATACATCGACTACTCTTGGGGAATTACAAGTGCTTTTATGAATTTTTAATTTTAGGGTTTATGGTTTATCAATAAGAGAAAAATAGCTATTTTTTAAAATCTGTACAGGTTTTGTTTTGGTTATCAAACTACATCATATTTTTTTTTTTTTTCGATTTTTAATAATTTTTCTACAGCATTTTACTTTAATAGGTAACCACATATATCCTTTTTTACTTTTAATATTTTTCTTATTTAAGACATTGACATTGTAAAGGTAAAACACACTTTTTTTTCATGTAAAACATTGCATTTTAATATTTGTTTCTGATAAAGACATCGTAGTTTGAAAACCTAACTAATAAAAGTGTTAATATTTCAAGATCTGATCTAATAATACATTATAAACTGAATCTACATTTTTTCTATTAACGCAATATGCACTTATTATTTTTTTTTCGAATAAAGTTATTGTTCATTGAAAATCATATCATTTCTATTGATGTACTTTCAATATCTTACTTATTAAGACATTGTACTTTTACTTTATTTCCTACTAAGAAATAAAATATTGTTTTCTTCAAACACTGCACTTTAAAAAATTGAACTTGTTCGATTTTGGCTGCATATTATTCTTTGTTTTTTTATTCATACGTCATACAGGATTGTGTATTTTGGTTGCTAGTTATAAGTTTTTTTTTTTGGAAGAGATGCTAGTTATAAGTTAAAACATATACATTCTATTTTTCTATTATTAAGAAGCTTGTAGTTTTAAAAATTAACGAGTTATTTTTATACTTTCAATTATAGCATTTTATTCTCACAATCTATTTATTACTTTTATTTTTTTCTTACTTGCCTTTATAGCATTATATTTTCAAAGTCTAACCTCAAGACATACTTTTATTTTATTTAATATGCTTCTTTCTTGGTTACAACTTATACTACACTTTAAATTTTTTTCTTGTTAAGGCCATGTGGTTTTTATATTTTTTCCCAATAGTTTTACTTTGAAAATATAACCAATAATACATGGTACTTTCAAATATTAACCTGCTAAAAGCATATTATAGTTGAAGGTTTTTGCTATCAAGATAATTTTAAAATCTAAACTTATTTCATTTTAATTACCAGTTTTAGCATTACACTTTCAGTTATAACAACATTATGCTTTTAGTTTTTTTTTCTTATTAAGATATTTTTTAAATTTAACCTTTCTCGAGATATACCTTATATTATATAAATTTAACTAATTATGGCTTTATACGTTCCAATTATTACATCATACCTTCAGTTATAACAACATTAGTGGAATGAAAAAGGGTCTAATTTGAGGATGTCGTCGGTCGAGGGGATGTGAACTGTCAAGTTATAGTCGAGTATCCATGAAACACAGTCGACTGTCGAGTCGATTTCTAGCAAACCGAAGCTCGTGACATGAAGACCAGAGGTGAGGCAGAAGGGCGTCGACAGGCAGTGAGGCGGAAGGGCATCGACAGGCGGCCGGTAACTTTGTCTTCGTCTCGTCGACGAAGCTAATAACAGGATTGGGCTCTTGACGTCTTAATTGGGTGGGAGTGAGATTTGAGAAGTCGCCGTTTCACATTGAGATGAAGAAAGAAACGGGAAACCTAAACTAAAATTATTAATTTTACATGATGAATGTTCGCGCGTTACGCAATGTGATAATTATGTAGTTTAATATGGTTATATATGGTTTAATATATTGTGAATAAGCCATACATAAAACTTGCATGCAATTAAATAGCATGTATATTTTTTGATTTACAAATTTTTTATCATAATAAATAATGAAAATTTGTTGCTATTAGTTTAAAATTTTAAATGTAATTTTTATGTACACATTAGTATCTAATTTAATTAGTTGATGATTGATTAGATATGGATTCTTATTTGTGGTCGTCTATTTATATTGAACCTCATAAAAATACATTTTAAATGAATTTTGTTAGTTTTACTATTGAATAGAAAATGGTATCGTATTTTAAGTAAATATAAAAAATCTCATTCTCAATCTATTTTAAGATAGTGACATATTTTAAGTTAATATAAAAAATCATATTCTATAACTAATGGAAAAAAAAAAACGGAGCCAAAAATTTTAACTATAATAAAGTTGATTCCAATTAAAAAATGCTCAATCGAAGATAATATCATTCAATAAACATCATAAGATATTACGTTATATTCAAATTACAGACATCATTTTTGTAAGAGTCATTCAAAATATATGAGACTATAGTGTCTAATACAACAATGTAATAACCAAATGACCCTAACATATATTAATTGAAATATAATTATAATATATTATCTATGCAACTAATATGGTATTCTTCTAATATGTGGGATTCATCTACTATATGGTATTCTTCTAATATATTATATTATAGTATAAACATTATATTTGAAATACCACTTTGAGTTTTATTGTAGTTTATAACATAAAATTTGTGATGGGATGTATTTGACACACATTTGTGTATTTATATCTATATTATGTATTTAAAACAAATCTTATATAAACATCCAACCTAAATATTCATCTTGAAGTTTTTTTTCTTCGCCACGTAAACAAACTTTTGTTATAAAGCCAAAAATGGAATAAAAGACACTTAATTGTATGATCGTGATATATTGTATTTTGATTGGGGCTTGTACAAAGCATGCATGAGCATATATTATTAATTTATCTCTTGTTTTGGGTAATTCGAATAAGATAGCTTCAAATCCAACGTATCGAACGGATTACCCATTTACTAAAGTCTAAAACCCAAAAACTCAAACATGTTCTAATACCATACAAATGTATGAGGTTTTAGCAAATTATTATCTCATATGAATTACCATTGATTATGTGTGATTAATTATTAAGAAGGTGAAAAGGTTTGGAGGTTTCAAATGCATGAGGTTTTAGCAAATTATTGTGGGGGTTTCAAATACATGACAATCAAGGAAAAATGCAAGGTTTATAAATATGTAAGATTTTGTATTTGTATTTTATATTAAACTAGGTGTGTATTAAACTATTCCACGAGTTTATTAAAAAAAATATAAACTTATAAACCTAAACCTTAGGCAATTTAAAGAGTAATATATATATATATATATATATATATATATATATATATATATATATATATATATATATATATATATACTTATTCATAAGTATATATTAATATATACTTATTCATAAAGCTTTATATATATATATAAAGCTTTATGAATAACTATATAAATGAATTCAAAAATAATACAAATTTATGTAAAAATAAGTTCAAATTGAAAAAGGTTACTCTTATGTAAATAATGAAAATAAAAAAAGGTAAACAAATATATTGAGATGTAAATTTGATGGAATTATAATTTATTTTAAGAATGAATTGAATTAATTAAATCAATGATTTTCACTAAAAATAAATAGAACCAATAAGCAAATTACATGTCGAAAACAAACAAATCAAAAATTATAAGTAAATTACATGTGGCAATTTAAAGGAGAAGATTACATTTGGCAATAAGATCTTCATTTATTAGGAATGATATTATATAACATTGAATCGGATTGACCCTGACTTGACGCTCTTTCTATCTGTAATGCCCGCGTTTCCAGGATAGACATTATTGTTGATATAATAGTCTAGGTTAACCATTGCAACTCTTTTTAAAGTATTAATGATGAAATATTTGAGTATTATGTGAATTATGTGAATTTTGTGTTTATTTTTTTAAGTATTATAATTTAATGAATTAAGAATAAAATAAGCATCAATTAAATTGTGAGATAAGTCTAATATCTTTGCATGAAGATGTAGTGGTTGAAACAAGGATTTCGTAGATATAAAGAATGCCGAAATCCGAATTATAACGAAGAAGTTATGACCTGTCGAAGTTTCGCGATAGAACCGGCGACGCTGAATGACGTAAAAAGTGAAATTTACGTTAGAGCGATATTTAGCCTTAGTGATCTAAACGAAAGTTGTAGAATTCGCTAACTGAGAGTGTGCATAAAAAAGCGCCCAAATCTGACTTCGTATAAGGAAGTTATGATTTTCCGAAGTTTCGACTTAGCAGTATGAACCCCGAATACTCGATTTGAGACCGAGCGCTTTTTAGCCGAAATAATCAAGACGAGAATTGAAGATCTCATTAATAGTAGTGAAACAATAAAAAGATAGACGAAAACAGACGTCAGATGAAGAAGTTATGAATTTATAACGGAATTTTTCTGTCCCGACCTACTAAAAGTAAATAATACAAATAAATTCAAAATTAGCCAACATAGTCTAAACAAAAGTTGTAGAGCGTAGTCTCACCTACGCGTGGATATAAAGAACGTCGAAAACAAAGTTCGTATGAAGAATATATGAATTTTTGAAGTTTATTAAATAATTAAAATATTAAATTTAATTACAAATTTCGATATTATCCAAAGGGGGGGAGTCAGCGACCTTATCCG